AATCTCTTGTTGGAGTAATGATTTATGGGACTATAATATCAACAATCTGAACTTTGTAGGACTCATATTTCATCTGAATCACTGTCCATGATCCTACGCTCAAATTCCGAGTGATAGACAAGCTAATCTTCTGGGTGCATAGCACTTTGAATTCTCTTTCCCTATTGAGCTTTTGGCGTCTTTAAAGAAGTTTGATCACTTTAGAAAATAGTCCCTCCATCTTTAAAGTGCTTTTCTGATAATGGCTTAGTTTGTTTTGACTATGCAACTTCTTCAAACTCTTATGTTTGCGACTCGCAGATTACGCGTAAATATTCGTAGACGTTTGTTTTTCAAGACATAGTTTTCTAACGTCTTCGCGACCTTTCTTGGTGTAGACATGATTTTATGTCTTTAAAGGTCTTCAAATTTATGTCTTTAAAGGTCTTCAAACCTCTTCAAGAACAATGATAAATATGGTTATTTATTAAAATAATTTTAAAGAATTTAATAAGGTTAATATTTTAAAATAATTTATTATAAAATAATTTTATTTTAAAAAATTTATTATAAAAATTTTATTTAAAATAAATTATAAAATATGGATTGATTTATTTTAAAATAATTTATTTTAAATAATTTATAGTATGAATTGATTTATTTAAAATATGAATTGATTTTTTAATAATTTATTTAGTATGGAATGATTTATTTAAAATATGGATTGATTTATTATTGTGTTGTATGAATTGATATATTTTAAATAATTTTAGTATGGATTGATTTATTTATTTATTTTAAATAATTTATAGTATGAATTGATTTATTTTAAAATATGAATTGATTTATTTTAAATAATTTATTAGTATGGAATGATTTATTTAAAATATGGATTGATTTATTATTGCAGTTGTATGAATTGATATATTTAAATAATTTATAGTATGGATTGATTTATTTTAAAATATGGATTGATTTATTTTAAATAATTTATTAGTATGGATTGATTTATTTTAAAATATGGATTGATTTATTTTAAATATTTGATTAGTATGGATTGATTTATTTTAAAATATGGATTGATTTATTTTAAATAATTTATTAGTATGGATTTATTTATTTTAAATAATTTATTAGTATGGATTGATTTATTTTAAAATATTGATTTATTTTAAATAATTTATTATATGAATTGATTTATTTTAAATACTTTATTAGTATGGATTGATTTATTTTAAAATATGGATTGATTTATTATTGTTGTATAATTGATTTTTTAAATAATTTATTAGTATGTATTGATTTATTTTAAAATATATAATTTATTTTTAATAATTTATTAGTATGGATTGATTTATTTTAAAATATGGATTGATTTATTTTAAATAATTTATTAGTATAGATTGATTTATTTTAAAATATGGATTGATCTATTTTAAATAATTTATTATTGTAGTTGTATGAATTATTTAAATTTCAGTATTGTAAAACTAAAATTATTTAAATCTCAATATTGCAAAACTCTTTTAAATTTAAAAAATCAGTTTATTTATATTTCAATTTATTTTAGTAGTCTACAGACGTTAAAAAACAAACAATCTTCTTCTTGTAGACTGCAGACTTTTGATCCACTTCTTCTATTACAGATACCTACAAATGTGATCCGCAGACTGCAGACCTTTTACTTCTACAAAATTAAACACCTCCTGAATATATTTTGTCTGTATTACACATTCTTTTTACCGTACAAATCGATTATTAGTTGCAAAATTACTGCATCAAACAACATGTATCAAAATCTCGTGCCCTTGACTTTTTCAATAAAGGGTTGCCTGCAGCTTTCGTTACAAATAAATTATAGGTAGACATTTATAATAAAATTCACAATATAAAAAAATTGAATTATAGGATGAACATTCGGGGTATGCTTTCCTTCCGCCATTGATAGCATGTGTATTTATGTTAAATATTGAAGGTAAGGATGACAAACAGACGGTGCGGGTGCGGATACCCTTTCCCCCATCTCCACCTAATATTTTCGTATTACCACCTATCCACCACCCACGATGAGTAAATTTTTTAAATTCGCACCCGCCCACGCATGCACATTCTCAAATCTACACACACATACGTGGCACCTTATGATCACTGACAAAATGACACGTGACACTTTAAAAATATTTTTTAAAATATAAAACTCATTTCCCTTATTTTGACAAAAACTATACACCGGTGTAAGTATAAGTTATATATTTTGTCAAATATAGAGGAAATGAGTTTTTTAAAACAAAATTTTTTAAAAATATATTTTTATAAAAGGTTACGTGTCATTTTTCAGTGGTCAAAGGGTCCATGTCACTTTTTGTGACGAAGTGGGCGATTTCGTTAACCGCAAAAAATACCATGTATGAAATCAATAATTTTTAAAATATTATGCATGAAACTAAGAATTTGATATACGTTATTGTATGAATGGGCAATTAAACCCAATTCATAATGGTCTAAATTTATAAAATGAGTAATTAGTGGACGAGCGATATGGGGCAGGTAAGACATCGAACTCATCAATTACCCACTACTCACGACGGATATGACTTTGACATCCACGTCCGCCCACTACCCACTAAACTTATGCCCATCTCCGCCTTAATTAGAACGGATGCGGTGCAGAATTCACGAAATTATATTCATCTGTCATCCCTATACTGAAGCATTGTTTATAAATGGATACTATATTATTTATCCATATTAAAAAAATTATAACTTATAAATTTGAATTGATTTATTTTTAAATATAACCAAGATTATATGATCATTATATGTCAATATTGACAACAAAGAGACTTAAAATTATAGAATCTCAAGTTTGAAAACTATAGAACATCATCGTCAAGCAGATAAAAAGTTTAGCATGTTATCTCACACATCGGTGGAACATTGAGTTCCTCTACTTGAACTGATAAACGGACTCGACGGTGCAGCTCTAGGCCCAAACCCAACAACCGACGCACAGTTAACGTTAAACCGATATCGGCCGGAAACCCCAAGTCCCGACTTTACTGGAGTTTTCTGATGACTTTGAGCTCAAAACCATTTCCCCGCACTCCGATCTCGTCCCACTTCGTAACCGAACCCCGTGCCACCGGGAAACCATTTCCCTGCAAAACCGCAGTCAACAAGTTGCTCTCTTCGTTTTTGGTAAAACGGAGGAATAGGTGTATCCACAGTTATCTGCTGGCCTTGATACAAAGCGTAAGCTTGCAAGTCGTCGTAGTAAACGCCGACTCTCTTGTTGGGGTTGTTGGAGAGGAAGGTGAGTTGATGGACGAGTTGAGGAGCGAAGGGAGAGTGAGGTTGAGTTGGTAGATGTCGGCTTGTGTGAGGGAGAAGTGGGGTTTGGAAGGGTGCAGGGTTAGCCAGACGAGGAAGATGAAGGTTAAAACGATGGTGAGAATTGAAGAGAAAATGAAGAACATTTCTTGTAGAACTTGCTGATGGTGCAGCTTTGTTTTTCGGCGCAGTTTTTGGAGTTTTTGAGAAAACCCGAGACATTTGCAAGAAGCTGAATAGACGAGGAAGGAGAGTTTTTTTACGAAATGGTGGTGGCCGATGGGCTTAATAAAGGGAGAAAGGCAGAAATTATTTTATGGTCTAATGTTGATAATTCAATATTTTTATTTAATTTAGGATAAACTATGCATTTAGTACCTAAACTATCAGTTTTCATCCGTTTATACCTAAACTTTCAAAATTTTCAAAATCATAACTAATTTTTAGTTATTGTTTCATTTTAGTATAATGCCGTTAAAACTTAACATGTTTAGTACCTGAACTATCAGTTTTAATCCATTTTAGTATCTAAATTTTCATTTTTTAAATTATACCTAATGTTTAGTTATTGTTTCATTTTAGTACCATTTTGTTAAAAACTTAATGTGCTTAGTACCTAAACTATCAATTTTAGTCCGTTTTAGTAATTAAACTTTCATTTTTTTTCAAAACTTAACATTAAATTTTGAACGGGAGTTCTAAAATGAAACAAAAACTAAACTTTAGCAATGGTTTTAAAAAAGTTAAAAGTTTAGGTACTAATAGATCAAAACTGATAATTTAGGTACTACACATAATTTACCCTTTAATTTATCATGATTTGATCGCATACCTCGCCTAAATGGAAATTTCTTTTTTAAGTTACAACTATATAGAGAATAAAAGATATTAGAAATTATCAAATTGTGTGAAAATGATAGTTTTATCTAACCAACTCGATGTGTTTAAAGCTTAATAAAAATCACAAATAATGGGTCCCAAGAGCCTCCATTAGGACACAGAACCCCACCATATTAAATCATGAATATGCATGTCATGATACAATTTCAAAGCCCGTCCCAGGATTCATGGAAACATGAAGAATCTGTAAACTGACTTTTGCAATGATTTTGTGGGCGTCTTTATGTAGCCGCTAAGAAATGGGCGTAAACAATTCTTTAAAACATTCACCCTCTCCATCCTATGGGTTTAGGGTAGTTGAGACTTGTAGGTTTTTTTTCCTAATTGTGTGATAGTTCGAAATTTATAATTATTAGATATTATATTTTGAAAATAATATTATGATGAAAATAATAATTATTATTAAAAGTTTTATTTGATTGTACGATTAAATATCTCTTAATAAAATTTATGAATTAATCAAGTCTGGGTAGGTTGCTTGGACGCTTGAAATTAGAGGAAAATAAAAGGTTTAACTTTTCCAGTTCTCGTTGAGCCCTTTAATTAATCAAATATAAAGCTGGCTGACACATAACTGCTGACCCCACAAGTAATCATTTTGATTCTTTCTAATTTTCCCTAATTTTGCTACTTAGACTCCTTTTAGTAACAATGTGTTATCTACCATCAATTGGTTTAGAAGAATGTGGGTTAAATTTACAAATACTATTTTGATAAACAAATACTATATTATTAAATTACAGGCCTTTCTAATATTTTGCATGTAATAAGTAACAAATGCAAGGACCAAATTAAAAAAGAAAAACCACCCATCCAACATGCATAATTTGATAACCAAGATAAAACCAACAAAGGATATGTCAAAGAGTGTCATAGATCAAGCTAGCTTGTCCACTAGTGTTCAAATATAGTATCAAAATGAAACAAAAGGAAACCTAGTTCATCCATTAGCGTTCAGAGATAGTTGCTTCGCCTCCAATAAACACCGCCACACCTAGCTAAACTTGCCCACATGGACCGTATCCGGTTATACTGTGCTAAGACGTTCAACAAAATTTACCCTAAAACTCCATTAAGCTGCAAGCAATACCGGACTTATGTTTTTAATGCGGTATGAATATCAATGCCTCACCGATCGGGCCTGAAAGTAGAATCAGCCACATGTATAAGATTCACTTCAAACTTGCCATTTGAGGGGGAGGGGGGAAGGTCTTGTTTCAATTTCATGATTCTTTTAAATGGAATGTGAGATTCAAATACGTGACGGGTCACTACTCGCATTGAATATCAGAAACCGGAATTAGCCTACCTTGTCAGGTGATACTGATATTGACCTTGATCTTTCTCTGAATGAATAGAAGTAAAGAAGTTTCATAAATCATATGGAAAACAACAAAACTGAATAGCAAAGCAAAGAAACTGACAGCACGTTTTGACACCCAGTTACCTGGGTGACTTGACAGGAGAGGCAGATCTGGATTTAACAGGTGATTTGGACGGACATCTTTCCTGTGATTTACTGCATACAGGAAAGAAAATGTTTGGAGTTCTGGAGTGCATCTGAAGGAGAAAGGTTAAGTACTGAAAGAGAATAGTATAGGGTTAATACCTCCGGTCTCTTCTAACGCTGCGGCTTCTACTTCTACTCCCACTACTACTGGAAGGGCTGCTCTCGTATTTCTTCACCTGTCCATACAAATGATAAATACCAAATACTTAAAATGGAGGTCAATTTGAAAATTCTAAATTCTACACAAGACAAAGGAATATATATATATATTTCAATGCATGATGCTCCATGTATCCATAAATAAAAGTAGGGTCACAGTGCAAGAAACCCTTTGCAATTTTAACCACTGAAAATTCTCAGAAAGTGTGAGAATAGAATGATAGAGGGAAGGTCAGACCATATCTATTATCTATTCATGTGTTTACTTAGCTAAAGGTTAGTCGCAGGCATGCTTGTGTTTACTTGGGTAAATGTTAGTCGCAGATGTGAGAACACGCACATAGTAGAATTACGATTTTGCATACTAAAACAAATCAATGGCTCCATGTATTCCACATCAATAATGGAATAGACCTTGTTCATAAAATTTTACGCAAGTAACATTTCAGCCTATTACGAAGGGGAATGAGGATATAGCAAAACCATTCAATGATACGGAAAATAGTAAGAATAGAAGAATGCATAGCAAGGTTACCCGAACGTAAGCTCTAGCCCAAGGATTTCTAAACTCGGTATCATCAAGTTTACGAATCTGCATGATGTTAAAAACATGTCACTTGAATTACAATTTACAAGCATTGAAGTAGCATAAATTCATGGCAAGGAGGTATGAAATTTTCTTTCTAAAAAACTTGCAGCATATTTCATGTCATCATAATTGGTAAAATCAACAATACCAAAAGTACCTGAACAAGAGAGAGAAATAATAATAAGTATAAACTCATTCAAAAACATGAAGGCCTAAAAACTAAGCCAATCCAGTTGAAAAATCAAGATGAGACGATAACTATTTCAGATTTCAATCGATTTCAACATAAAGGAAAAGCTCATAAAACAATCAGAACTAGAAGATAAGTACAAGCATATTAAAGAGAAGTAGCAGAAACAATGGATCTTATAATTACAAACATTACCAGTTTGAACATCCAAAACATACATTTAAGCATGTCCCACATAAGATGATAAGAATATCAAATAGCAACATTCAAGATCTAACAGAGTTGGAACAAGTTACAATGCAAGATGTCAGCATCAAATAAGGAAAGAGAGAGAGAGAGGGCATACAGGGGGATAAGGTAAACAATGAACCGTATAAGCTTATCAATACATCTCCTTAAATCATACCATCACTGTCACGTGAAATTTCTGCAAAACACACATCACCAGCTTTTAGCATGTGATCCTGAAAAGAGGATATGGATAGGTAAGAGTTACAGCTTAATTAAAAATCCCTACACTTGTTTCAAGTTATACAAGTTCTCTAAACCTTCAAATCTTGCCAGGAAGCAGAAGAAGGGAGCCCGCGGACTAACTGCAGGGAAACAAATGTATACATTTGAACCATTTGTTACTGCAAATAGAAACTAAATAAGAAATAACAGAGTGACACAGTTTAACAGTTAGGCAGACCTCGAAATTCAGAGTGACGTGATACACCAAACTTAGCTGCACCACCACCATACCCACCACGACGATCACTTGAGGATTGTCCTCTACCACCATGTGCAAGCTCAACCTACATCAATCACAGACAAAAGCCAAATAAGGAGGGAACGAGATGTACACATGAAAACATGTGCCGTTCATTACCCTCAAACGACAACCATCAAAGTTATAACCATCTCGACCTCTGATTGCATCTTCAGCATCTCGGGGATCCTCAAACTACAACACACACAATTTAATAAAAAAATTTCACTTTTTTCATTTTGCATCCTAGATAAAACATGTGATAAGAAATGTGCCTCAACAAACAAAAACATGGAGGGCGATGTGGAATCTTCAACTCAATATCCAAAATACGACCATACTGAATAAGAAAAACATATATTAGAAAACAGAAACAGATATCAACCAAAGGCAAAGAGATTCTTCAAACACATTAATGATGTGGTTCATATAAAGTCCGGATTACATGCTCAAAATCAAGCACAACCACAAGATACATACATTACTTATGTGATGAAAACTAGCTGAGGAAATGTTATATTTATTCTTTCATAGAAGAAAATACATTGGCAAATATCAAATTCACCAGCACCTTGTAGAAAAGATCTTCAACCTCCCATTCTCTTATATCTGAGGGTAGGTTGCCAACATAGATTGTGCGAGAGAAGCGGCTGCTCATTTCCACTACCGGAAAGCAAATAATATAATAATTTCACTGCATGCACAAATAATAGAATCAAATTAACAGAGAAACCAAGTTCCATTCCCTATGTACGAAACAATGCAACAAATATCCACCCAGATATCTAATTATCATCAGCATCCATTCTGATGATAATGATAAAAAAAATTATTGCATAAAAGAACAATGAAGCAAACCAAGTCAGCAATTTCTCCGAATTGTGAGCAGTGTCCCACAAGCTCCATTTTGCTCCAACATTCGAAAGTTAAATCTGTCTTGTCATCCTCCCATGATGAGAAAAATAAAATAAACTTATTGCAAAGCCAAAAATCATGAAACAAACCAAGTCAAAATTCCTCAAAATTGTCATCCACAAGCTCTACTGCTCATTTGCTCCAAAATTCGAAACTTTAACTTAGTCTACTCATCCTCTCAATAACATTTTTTCCAGATCTTCAGAAGGGAGCAACAATGTCCGATCATTAAAAAACAAAAAAGCACACAAATTTCCTACTCCCTTTCTCTACCCCCTATGTACCATTCCAAAATTATTGTCTGTCCAAGCGCTTGTCATCTATCATAAACAAAGCATGCGTGTCACCAGATGAGATTCTCAGACACGTTATTGATTATTTCATTTTCCCTTAATCATCTCTCTTATTAAGCCACAATGAAAAATAATAACAAACCCTAAAAATACATTAAAAATTCCCATATTTCTTCCCTTCTTTAATCTAATCTCCAATTACCTGCGATTACTTTTAAGAGAATATGACAATCAGAAAACCAAAAGAACCTACAATTTAAAACACTATATATCAATTATACATGAAAGCGATGAAAAGGTAACGACAATGTACCGAAGAACTGCGAGCTAGGGAAAAGTGAAGTGGAGTTGATGAGAATCAATCAGAAAGTGTTGGCCCTAAGCATAGTAAAACTGGAGCTTGACGAAGCCTCGTGGTCGAGCCTTCCTGCTCAAATCTAACTTAGCTTAACCTTCAACTAGCTAGTAGCTAGGGTTCGCTTATCCTCGTCTTTGCTCAAATCTGAATTCAAAAATCCGCGAACCTATTGGGTTTACCTGAAGACTATTCACACTTGATTTTAAGTTGGGCAGCCTTGAAGCGGATCGGGCCAAACATCGCCCGAATTTATTACTAATCGTGTGTTTAACAACCTATTGAAAAAAAAAATCAAATCTATTTAAAATACGGTAAAATATACAAATAGTTCCCGACTATAGGATATTATTTTATTAAGTCCCTTAACTATCAAAAGTTATAAAATGGTCCTCTAACTATAGAGTGTTTACTTTGTTGAGTTTATGCTACTAAAAGTTAAAAACGGTCACTCGACTATTCATTGTGTTTCAAACTTGTCCTTTTTCGTTAAAAAATCGACAGTTGTCTGAGCTGGACGTTAACGTGATGACTGAAATATGATAGTTTTTTGAGATTTTATGATCGTATTTTATCATATCACAATTAACATGTTAACGTTCAGCTCAAAATATCGTCAATTATGTAACGGAAAATGACGAGTTTAGAACATAATGAATAGTTAAGTGATCATTTTGTAACTTTTAATAGTCGAGGGACTCAACAAAGTAACATTTTATAGTTGAAGGACCATTTTGTAACTTTTAATAGTTAAGGGACTTAATAAAGCAAATACCTTATAGTATGGGGACTATTTATGTACTTTACCCTTTAAAATATTAAGTATATACAAATCTATTTATCACTTAATCAAAAATATTTTTCTATAAAAATGAATTAAAATATTTGAACACAAAATAAGGTCAAATTTTAATTCTACTATATTCAAGAGGCTTAAACTAAAACAATTCCCTAAACTATGTTTCTTTGTTTATACTCTAAGATTCTAAATTATTTTTTTGTCAAAACAAGTCTTTAAATTATTATATGTAACTACTTTAAGTACCTAAATTAAATTTTAGTCAAAATAAATTATTAAACTATGTCTTTTTTTAACTTCAAGCCCTTAAACTATTTTTTAAAAAAAATACCTAATTTTTATAACATGTCCACATATTATTGGCCGAAATATTTTTCTAAAGTTAAAAAAAATATATAGTACCTATATTTTTACTGTAAGTCTGTTCAAAATTATCAGAATTTATTCTACCATTTTCACAGTGCACTTGATTAAATCTTTTGATTTATGAAGATTGGTTAACGAACAATCTAGAAGTCCCAGACGACGCCGTTTGACACCAAACCGAAAGTACACGTGGGATACGAACAGGAAATTAAAAGAGGACACGTGGGGCACCCATTTGATATACTTTTTTTTTGTCATTTTTTTAGCACTGCTATAATGTAGGGGTGTAAACGAGTCGAGTCGAGTTTGAATATTATTGAGCTTGATTCAACTCAAAAATTTTGAAATGGAGCTCGATTCGATTCGAAAACTTGCGAGCTTAAAATTTTCAAGCTCGACTCGAACTCGAAATTCTACACTGAAACTCGTGAGCAGCTCGAAAATGTTCGAAGTGAATTTTTTTTTAAAAAAACTTAACTCAATTGAAGACTCAAACTTGAACATGAACCTTAAATACAAGAAAATATTATTATTATTTTATAATGTACATAAAAATTCATTAAACTTAAATTAAAATATTCTTTAAAGTTGTTATTATTTTCATTTATTTAATTATAAAAATAATTGTATGAGGTATTATAATTAATGAACATTGTTAAAGCTTTATGATCTTGATATCTTATATTAAAATTCGAATATGTTAAATTATATAAATATTTTTAAAGTAATATAGTGCGAATCCTAATCTCTTTTTCTCTTATATAGACCTAGTTTTATTTCATTTCATTAGTTTTTATTTATTTATTTCCATTTTTATTTTCACTATGTTTCTCTCTCTCCTCTGCCTATCATTTATTATTATTATTATTTATTTAAATCTTTTTTTTCATCTCTTCTTCCTATTTGGGTGCGTTTAAGGATGAATTGAAGAGAGACTCGCTGTTTGAAAATCTTAAATTGTGATATATTTTAAATGTTTTTTAGATATTTTTTTGTTAATAATTAGTTTTCGTATCTTAAAATTTTATAATTCACACATAATATAAAAATTTATGTTTATATGTGGATGTGTTCGTTGTCGTTGTTTTGTGCTCAAACTCCTTCACGTTGAACTTATTTCCTTCGATGATAAAATATATATCGTTTGTGTTGCTTCAGTAAAAATAATAATAATAATCAATTTCATATTCGATAAAAAGAAGTAGGATTCACGAATAGATCAGAAATAAAAAAGGTCATTAAATTGACTATTTTTTTAGCTTTTCGTTGTAATATTTGATTAAAATTTTATAGGTATAAAAATGTATTAATTTCATCAAATAGTGTTGATAAATTACTAAATAATCTAATAATGAAAAACATTGTATATGATAAATAAAACCATTCGACGTGATAAAGATTTTTTGTTGTTGGGAAAGCAAAAGGAAACTGACGTCTGTCAGGGAAGTGGATAAAGACGGCTGTCGTAACTCTATCAAAATGCTTCGTATCGAGTCATCGACAAAAATATTTTTGATAGAAAGTAGTTAATTTAGTTAAAAATAGAAAATATCCAAAAATACAATTAACATTTATAAGCATGATCATAAATTTAAAATATAATTATGATATTCTTTTATTATTATGGAGATAATAATTAGTTACATAGATCAAATAAAGATCAAATAATGAAAATGTTAAAAAATTTAACTAAAAATTCGAATAAAATAAAGACACGAATAAATTTGACCGCATCGGTAAAATAACTATAAAAGGAGATGAAGCTACTGAAAAATCACCGATAAATCACAAATTAGAGTCAAGCGACACGTATCCAAACCAATTTGAGGGTTCAAAACAGAGAAGATCATCATGATAACAAATAAGCGATATCTTGATTAGTCGTGACAATATCAAATCTAACCCTTAAAAAAATATAAACAAAAATAACGGTAAAAAAATCATAAGTTACCAAAAGACAGAAAAACATGTCACAAAGACATAATTATTCTTATTAAAAAAATTAAAAAAAATAAAAAAATAAAATTGACGAATAGCAACTAACATTAAAATCAATGTCACCACCGGTTAAACAGAATTAAAAAAATTGAATTGATTAATAAAATTAATCAAGTTATAAAGAAGAAAAAGAGAAAAGAGAGTCATCATCCATTTAATCTGATGACTCAACTTTCATATATATATATATATATATATATATATATTATTTTTACTTTAATAATGAAATATTTCTTTTAAAATGATAAAAATACTCTAAAATTTTATTTTAAATTTATGAAAAATGTCCTTATATTATTTTCCCCAAATTTTAAACATAACTACGCTTTTAATTTTTTTATGTTTGAATATTTTCATTCAATTTTCAATGTTAAAGAAGTGAAAAAATAAATAAATAGCATATCTTGATTTTTTTATGATCAAATAGTAGAGATTATAAAATATAATTATTTTTATCGTATTTTAGATTATAATTTTATGAATTTTAAAGAGATTTTGAGAAAATTTAAACTGTTAGAATATAGGAAAAAAAGATGAAACTTTATGATATTAAAGAATGATAGTATTCAAATCTAATGATAACAGATGAAGATGAAACTCTAAAAATTTAAAATTATTTGAAAAATTATGAAATAAATAAAAAATATTTATTACGTTGGAGGAAAAAATCGTATCACCATGTTATTGTTTATTTAATATCATAGTAACAACAATAAAATGATTTAAACTTAAATTAATTAAATTATTTTAAAAAAAATTAATAGTCAAAATAAAAATGTAACCAAGTTTAATGATGAAAAACATAGTTTGCCCATAATTAAGGGTAAATTACGTATTTATTATCTAAACTATCAAATTTTCATTTTAGTATTTAAAAATTTTCTTTTTTGAAAACCATACCCAACTTTTAATTTTTCTTTCATTTTAGTATCCAACCATTAAAAACTTAACGAGCAGGCTAACGTGATATAGTTATGGTGAGTGGACGACCAATTCGAACGGTGGATCACGAGAGAATGACGAGTCGACTATCAACTGTTATAAATAAGTTGTTAAGCCTTCATTCTTGTACAAGTGATTTTGATAAATTAGATGCAGAGTATTATTTTATTTTCTCTTATGTTTCTACTATACTTAGTAGTTAGGTTTATATCATAACATGATATCAGTCGCTAATTCCTGGTGTTGTTGTGGTGTATCTTCCTGCTGCTATTTATGAAGCTCAGGTGTTCACTTTTTGTCTCCTTTGCTTCATCGTTCTTTGCTTCTTGAATTGGTACCTCTCTTTTTTTTTTCCTTGAGTTTAGATATGTGTTCATATCTAAATGTTGTTTAATATGGTTGATCCAACCCGTGATGAGAATGGTTCGCATATTAACTCTCCTATGGGCTACTGTTGCTCGTGTAAGCTCCATTCATAATATAACTAAACATGATATAGTTAAACTCACTGAAAATACGTATTTATTGTGGAAACATCAAGTATCGTTAATCATTGATGGTTATGGTTTGTTGAAGCTTATTTCCTCTAATATAGTTATTCCAAATGAATTTGTTACTAATGAAGCTTATTTCCTCCTGGTTGTTAACTACTGTGAGTATGGAGGTCCTGTCTCACCTTACTGGTCTTACGTCTGCAGCCGCTATTTGGAATGCTATGACACGTTTGTTTGGTGCATGATATACTGCAAAAATTTCATCGTTTCGCCATACTTTGCATTCACAAAAGAAATATGGTTTGTCTGTTCATGAATTTTTAGCAAAGGTCAAAGTTGTTTGTGATTTGCTAAATGCTTCTGGAAGTGTTGTAACTGAACAAGAACATGTTGGTGTTATTTTAGCTAGCTTAACTATGGAATTTGAATATGTAATTGCTATAGTTTATAGGAAAGAAGTATCATTGGACACTCTCATCGAAATATTGCTTGACTGTGAGGCTCGACAGAATATATTCCTAGGTGAAGAACTCTCGGCTAATGTTGTTTAGCTGAAGCCTGATGGCGAGTTGAGTGTAAAAGACTCCT